CACTCCCTTACCTCCAGCTACTATGACAACGGGATTTGCATGGCAACAATAACATTAAATAATCTGCGTGACATACCTGACCTCACTCATGCCGGGTTAATGATTCCTTCCATTTAATTTTTATTTACTTTTTGCTATTCAATTTAATTAATTCTGTAATAAAATATTAAATTCTTTGTTGTGTTAATAATTTTTTTCTGAAACCATATTCTATTACAACGTATTAAATTTAAGTTATATATTATAATCTGTTTAAACCAAATATATTGCATAATATATTAATTTTAAAGTTATGAAATTCTTTAAGCACTTCCAATTTAAGGATTAAAAAATATTCCAAAACAAGTTTTACATTATTTATGCTTTTTAAAACTTTCTTTTTAATGGACAAGTAGATTAATATGTAAAAATTCTAATTTAAAAAACATTTCTCAAAAATAATTTGGAATCTTTCTAAACAAAAATCTTAATGCAGTGGTTCTTTTCTACTCTTTATGTTCTGTTTCTTTTCTGTGTCATTTAAACTGGCAGTTCTTAAGCTTTTTCCGGTCATGGCTTGCGGCCTCTTGTGTATGGTAAACCCCACAACCTGTTCTGTCAAGTTAATTGTTTAATTTTTTTCATCTGCACAGTATTTTTTGTTATTTCCACTGCCTAATTATTTTTTTTATTTTCAATATTTTCCATATCATATAACATGATATGGAAAATTCCATCCAAAGCAATTTTACTTAATAAAAATCTTGCTTTTGTTTCTGGCCCCCAAAACCATCCCATGGTTTCCCTTTAAGAAGTTTCAATCTAAATAATAATTTCAATGAAAAATTTGGGTCATTCAGCTATGAAGACGCATGTTATCTCTGTAATATTTTTAAACTTTCTATCTTTTCTAAATAATAGACATTACTTACTTGATCAATGTCATCACAAATAATGGCATTTGGATGCATTATTAAATTAATATGCTTGGATTTTTTTTTAATCAAAAACCAAATTTATAACTGTGGCCTGAAACAAAAACATACTCGGTTAAAGCGTGCTACATGGCATTTTATTCAGCTTCAATTATAATTATTCAGATTATAGAATTGTTGAAGTCATCTCTGGTTTTATATCGACAACAAAGTGAAAAAGAACTGCATTCAAACTAATAAGATCCAATCTGAAACAAGCTTAAAGCCATATCTACTGATGTAATATCACAACAAAAACTGTACCCTGTCATTTGACTAATTGTTAGCTTGCAGATCAAATGTTGGCAACACATCTCATGTATACCATCCGGCTATTCGAAAATTTTAAATAAATCTGCAAGATCATGCCGTACTTTTGCAACATGTTAGAATGATTATTTACTCCACAGTTGTCTATTTAATGCAATCTAAACTTTATTCAATCGGCAGCAACCACTAACGGTATTGTTGCAATACCATTAACGTCAAATTACTATATTACATTGCATGCTGACCATTTTTTTGTTTTTTCCCACTGTTTAATATATATATGTACAAATCTGCTATTAGCTCTTGTTGATAATAAGTTTGTAAACACCATTCTCAAAGCAAATCTTGACATCCTATGTTAGATTTTCCCAAATGAGCTGGATCCGGTGATCCGAATAACTTAATAAAATGTAAAATATTTTTTGCAAACTAATTATAAAATGAGCATGAACTCCATTTTCCCAGAAATGTGTTCTATAATGTCATTTTGAGTGGAAAAAAATAGGTCTAAAATATAAACTTATTTAACAATGCCATAAAGTTTGTCCGTAAATTAAATTATATATCATACATAATAAATAAATTATTTTTAAATTTTCTTTCAGACTTATTTAAAATAAGTCTGAAAATTAATTTAGCCTGGAAAATATTAAAGCTGTTTTTTTCAGTGCAAAAACTCTTCTAGAACTATAGTATTTGTGGGTTTTACCCTTATCATTAGGATTCGGCAATAGAACATTTTTTCATTTATTGGCTCCTGAAGGTGGACACGTAGCCCAAAAGTGCTCAAGCTTTCTAGAAAAGTTTTATTACCAACAAAGGTTATTTGAATTAGATTTATATTTTAAGAATTTCGTAGAGCTTATTATAATTGGCACTTTAAGGCTTAATTAAAAAAGTAAGAAAGATATTCTAAGTTTCTAAAGATAAAATTCTAAGAATAACTTTAGACTATAAGTAGTGATTGATCATTATAAGAGACATTACCGATTAAAATTTATGCAAAGCTTCACGAAATGCATTTTTTTAATCATCACAATACTTATTAAAGATTTTAATTTCAGTGTATCGAATTTGGGTATGTACGGAATTACAGAATTCACTGCCGTCATCAATCCTCCCCAGTCGTCCATCTTGGCCGTCGGTACACTCCAGAGCAAACTGGACGAAAATGGGAAAGTGAAGACGGTCATGACCGGTACTTTATCTTTCGATGGAAGAGCAGTCGACGAAACGTCCGCTGCAAGATTTCTCAAGGCTTTTCAAGATAACCTAGAAAATCCAGTAAATATGATATTAGGTGCCAAACAGAGTAGCGAGGTAATAAATTAATTTTCGACGATTAAAATAAATCCTGTCGTCCTTCCATATAGTCAAACTTTTGGAAAGGTTATCCCCAATTATTTATGTATAGTTTTATTATTTAATACAAAATAAAAAATATCAAGTACTAATTTACGAATTAAACTTCAACGATAAATAAAGACAAAAGTAAATCTAATCACGAACGGAACGATTAAAACTTTGGTTTTGAAGTAAACGCTTATGTTATTCTTTCTAAAAAAATAACAAAAAAATGTATTTTTTCATTTTAGAAGTAGCTGCAGTTATTGATTTTTCTTCAATATTTGACAAAAGTTTAATGGTTGTAAAACCAAAGAAAAAAAAAATGAAATTCTATTTATAATCTGTCAAGTGAACTATTGAACATTATTAATAGTAGTTTCCTGAAATAATTAAAATTGAAAAAATATAAGAATAATTTGTAATTTTTCGATTACGGTCGAGGGGTGACTTTTTTTCTTATTGCTGTCTCTTCCGTTCCTCGTCTTTAATTGAAATTTTCAATTGTTTAATTTCTTCACCACAAAACACAAATGTCAGAAAACAAATTTTAATACTTTTACTGTATATACAGTATTGCAAATGATATATAAAAAACAATAAACCACCATAATAAAATGCAAAATAAATAAAATGTATACAATATATTTTTCCTAGAGGAGAAAATTATAGATATAAAAAGTTTGTTTGTCTTTTTTTTTTAGTAGAGTCGTGAGCACCTCTCTTTCCATCTGTTAGTAATTTCTTTTTAAATCGTTTGTTTTAATACTTGATGATTTGTAGAATGATGTCCTGAGTTTAATGTTTCTTGGAAGATTAATATAGAGAGCAAAAAATCTCCACATGCAAAATTCCCAGTATGTTGCATAAAATGATATTGAATGTAATTATGATTTTAGTATGGGACATACTGTGATGCTTAGGAATATGTAAATTCTCGGCTCGGGCCGTAGTAGGAATTGTTAATTAACGCCAGATCTATGGTACTTCTGGCACCTAAAGCCTAATGGGATATCGTACATGATCCGGCTTTAGGGTTGATGGGGTTTTTAAATATTTAATAAGTTCACTAATTCTATGCTAATATGATTGTACAAGATATTAAAGGATCTTTCGCACAATATGTCCCATACCGTTTTGATAGACTTTTTTTTCTCACGGCCACTGCCATTATAGCATAGAGATGGTAAGAAAACAGGATGTTTATTCCATCACATTACAATACATGTTCTATACATCAAGACAGAGCTTCGTGTTCTGTCTACACACGACATAAAGTCCCATTGGATATTAAGTCGCTAACTCATTGGAGAAAAACAAAATTCAACTATTCTCTAAACAAACTTCTTCGGACGGCAAACCTAAGGACGAAGGTTCAATTTTCAGGAAAGTATAAGGGAGATTTGAAATCAAGGTTAAGCATCTAGGAGACGTGTCGACCCTGCGGTCGACCTCGCGGCCGCTTCATCGCCAACCAATCGCGAGGCTCCTAAAGATCTAAAACAAACGATTTCGTTGGATTAAATTATGGTCACACTTTGTCACGTGTGCTGCGTGTTTCGTAACTCAGTCTCCTACCGTTAGATTCTCTCCTCTGGTTGGATATCTTTGCTTCACGTTCAAATATGTCTGCCGTCGCATCCTGATCCGATTTGCAACGCGACATGGCGGCCATGGCTGTGACTGTGGCTGCTGTTAGTGCCAGATCATCTACAACTTGGACACGGGTCGGCGTAGGACTCAGAGATTCAGAACCACACGAAGAACTGTCACTCAGTTCTGCCGTCGGTCTTCGACTGATTCTCGGAGACTGGTTGGGTCGTCTACCTAATACTTGGGCTTGGATGTGTTCGCATAACCTTTTGAACCGTCTAATTGGACCTGGGGGATAAAAAATTGAAATAACAACTTGAATAGAATTTAATTTACCATCATAGGAGAACCACTTTTGGGTCTATCTGAAACCAAATAACATTTAGGTACATCAACACAAATCTAAATTAAAGTATAAAGTATGAATTTCCTTTCTACAAATTCAAATTTGTATAAAATTGACTGGTTACTTTACCTGATATCAGAGTAAAACTAACACAATAAAGTGACGGTCTGTCTCCATTCCTTTCGTCATTTCCTCCTCCACTAACTAAGGTTATGTTAACGTGAAACCGGACGTTTCTCTGAAACATAGTTGAGCTACCAGGCCTTTTGTATTCTACCCGGAAGGACATTGGCGAAACCACACTGTGACTCAGATCTGCAATCTGAAAGTTTTTTCAAATTTAATTTTCTTTCTTTTTTTAACAGCAATAAAAATAATAAAAGGTATGCACAGGTATTTACCGAGAGAAAGGCATGGATCAGATCAGCTTTCACCGAACTCAACGGCCTGTCTTTTAATAAAATTACATGGTTTTCGTCTCTCTCACTAGTCATAAGGCTTCCGAACCAGGACCTCTTTGCTAATCTGTTTAAAAGATTTATTTTATTAAATGTACACTTTCATACTTGAATAAATTCCAAAAAATAGAATAAATACTTACTCAGGAGACGAATCAGGTGTAAGCCCAACTTCATCTGAATTTGATGGTGCTAGAAAGAAAGAAAAGATAACTAAACTAAAAAAAACTATTAATGAAATACTAAAAATTATCAGATGATGTAATAAATTCATTCAAATCTTTAGATAATAAATTTGTAGTGAAAGATAGTTCTTTTTCCAATTTAAGAGCCAATTGATATTGTATTATGTATCATACATTTTTATGAATTTTATCTCATTGAATTATCAATGAACTTTATTGCATTTATCAAAAAAATAAACTATAGAACAGAGATCATAATAAAAATAACAACAGAATAAAGATCATGAACAGATATAACAGTTATCTTGAACATGCATCTTTATTTAATTTCACAATATCTTCTCACTCAAAGGCTACAACAAAACATTGTTGAAATAATTACAAATACTTCATTTGCATTTTGCCCTTGCACCTTTCCATTCTAATGCTGTTTGAATCAAAATTATAGTTTTAGATTTTGATTTAAACAACATTGAGATGAAGAATTTCAGTATAAGCCTTTAAACTGTTAGTCTTTCATCCATTATTGCATCTCATAAATCTTAAATGATGATAATTTATTTATTGTAAGATTTTATCTTGATCAAGTTTGCTAAAAGATATCCGAAATAAATTGGATAGCTCCCTCTTATTGTAATAATTAAAGTTTGATTGAATGTAGCTTTTATATAAAAAAATATAATAATTTATGTACAGAATGGTTATATAGTCCCTATGTGTGTTACTTAACTGTTTTCTAGATCTTCCCTTTTCTGCACATACATTTTTACTTTTCCTAAACTCTTCCACATGATATCATCTATATTATGAGCAGCAAGTAATTAAAGCATTCACCAAATACCAATATTTGGCTTTAACTCTTCAGCAGTATTCTTCTAAAGAAGAGAAGACACTTTATAAAGTTGAGAAACTTTCTCTTTAAAAATTCTCCCAAAGCAAATGAATTATATTAAAACTAAT